TTACTAAATTGCCAGTAAATGCTTTCAACTTTGGTAACTGTCTGTCATCTTAGCAGAAAAAAACAAACCCAAAACAGCAAAACAAAATAACTCCAATTCCCCTTCTTTTTAATAATTCTTCTAGTTTTTAAAAGGTATTTAAAAGGTATTTTGGCTTAGTACCATTCAAAATTGAAAATCCTAAATCTCATCAAGCAACATGATTTGTTTTTATCTCATTAAGGCTTGATGTTTTTATTAGCTTTTGACGATCTTTAGGTTAATGTAAATTGGGATGTTACACCAGTGAGACTGTCATTATGCCCTGCCCTGGAAAGATTCTGGKAGCATTGTGGCACTGAGGCTCCTTTGTCTGAGCTGTCTGTCAGGGACTCCAGCAGTGGTGGGGCTGCTGTGTTCATTGCTGTGCTCTGCCTGGAGTGGGGCTGCAGGGATCCTTTTAAGACAAAACGGGTTTTTCCTTGCTCACAAGTACACGTGTTTTTACATTGGAAATGTGCCATACAGCTAGGATGGGGAGCCAGGGTGCTTTTTGGTGTCTGGATTCAGAGGTGGAATTTAGATATTACACATTACCTCCATCTTTTCACAGCCAAACAGCTTGAGATTGGCTTTTTTTAATTGAAGCCTTTTTCTAGGTACTTGATCTGGGCATTTATTCCATACTAAATTGCCTGAAAAGTACACCATGGTGTGCTGCTCCAAATGTGCCTGTAACCTGTCATTACTGAAACACTCACAAAGTACAGCCTCTCCCTTTACTTGAAGCCACAGCTGGATGTGTGTGAAAGGAGTGCCCATTTCTTTAATTGTTCTGTGGAGAGAACTGTTAATCAGCTCCCAGCAGGGTGGTTTTAACCCTTGGGGGATGATGTTCTTTCTCCTTAGGTTTCACTCCTCATACCAATTATGCCATTGTGAGCCAAAGTCTATGAAGAGGTGGGACACAGGTGCAACCCTGGTCCAACATTCAGTGCAGCCATGGAGAGTAAATGGGAGCTCTGGGTACCAGGTGTTCCTTCCAGGGCTGTCTTTTAGTCCAGCGACTTCACTGCAAAGTATGAAGACTTGTACAGGCACAAGCATGCTGCTACAGACTAGCAAAAAATGCGTATTTTCAAAAAAAAAAGAAWCCCCCGGGAAGTCTGAACCTTCACATAGAACAGAGAAGGATTTAAAAGCTTTTTTGATTACTTCACAGGCTCACTTCATAAAAGGAGCAAATGGAAGAGAGGGCAAATGGCTGGTACCAGTGCAACCCATCTGTGAGTGTGTGTGATGCCTCCCACTGAGCCTGAATGACAAGACTGGGTTTGCCACTKTACTGTTTCTAGTTCTTGTTTCAGAGGTTCCTGGTTAAGCTCCCATATTCTTTCTAAATGGTGTCTTCCAGAAACAGCAGCTGAGGCAGCTGTTGCCCTTAGGTTTTGAAGCCAGCAAGTGGCCATCTAGCAGATTCGAAAGGCATGAATCATGTTAGAATAGTCTGCTGGTGCTTTAGAGTGAAAGTCTGGGGTACTTTGAAGTTTGGTCTGATCTGAAATGAATCTTCAAGACGGCAGAGGAAGGTTTGCGTGTTGTTGCTCTTCTCCCATCTGGAGTTACGCATCTCAGTAGGAGAAAGAGGTATCAAGTGTGGCAGGAACCACAGGTAAGAGAACTACTGTCTCTCCAGAAGAGCCACTTTTGATGGAAGGCAGTAGAATACATGACTGAGAGCATGGAAATTTAGCACTTTGAGTAAATGAACCTGTACTCCCTTTGTTTTTTTTTTCCTAGAGAGTTTGAGAATTGGAATTTTTTGCTGTCATGTGGTCAGGCAGGCCACAATGTGACCAAATGTGAGATGCCTATTTACTCTCAGTGGTCTGTACAAATGGGCAGCTCAGCTAGTGTAAGGTGAGTCCTCCCCTCTCAGTAGGAACTGCACAATGCATTAGAGGGAGCTTGGTGCTGGTAAGAGCAGCTGGAGAGGCTGTGCAAGGCACCCACTGCTGTGCAGTTTTGATCCTCACAAGGAGGATCACTCTTGCTGCTGGAGGTTATCACAGCATGAGATCCACTAGATTTTATTATTTTTTTCAAGCATGATGTACTTCTCCTTTTATTTCTCTGTGCATGCATCTAGGCTTGCACACCTAATTTATTTTAAGTATTCCATGAATATATAGTCTAGAGAAGCCTCATGCCTGTCTTTTTGCTATATGGGGAAATAATGATCTGACAGTTTCTGTGTCTAAGGTGCTTGCAGCCCCTCTTAACCTATATAGTCTCTGGTGCATTTAGTAGCAGTGAATTCACTGCCATCTGGGTATTAAAGTATCTTAATCTATTTTTTCAATAAATTTTAAGAAATTAATATATTTGAAAGAAAACTTCACTTTTTTCTGTGTGTTTGAATTGAGTTTSAAAGTTGAAAGAGGCATAATTGCCTTTGAGAAAAGGCTACAGAGGGCAAAACAAGGCTTCGATTAGTTTGATGGATTGAGCTATCCCCAGCCTTACTAGTATTGAGTTTAATGCTACTTGAGGCCAGGAGGTCCTTGGGGGTTGCTGGGGGCTGGTCAGGGCCACCTGTCTGTAGGGGGAAGATGCTTTTTTAACAACAAGGGAACTGTGTGCTCAACGCTGCTAGACCTAGCAACCATGCATCCCTTCCCTGAAATTGCTGGGAATGTAGCCACCACAAATCCATAGTTTCTCTGTTGTGTACATTTCCCTGTGCAGGGATTTCAGTGGCAGAAGGGAATGCCTTCTATTTGTGGCTSTGACTTCTGAGAGCTACCAGGAGGGGCAGCAATATTTCTGAAGCAAAGCAGGGCTCCTGCATCAACAGGAGAGTTTTGCTAAAATAATAATTCCTATTTCTTGCAAAAAAAAACCAAAAAAACCCCAACAAAACAGATTGTGGTTCTCTGTTTTTTCCCAGTCCTTCTCTCACTTGCTTACTCCATAACAGCAATTCTGACAAGCCTTTGTCCATCTTGGTTTGTTGCCAYTTACAGCCTGGAACAAGCAGCAGCTTGTTTATTCTTGCAGTGTTTTCCCTGGATGCTGACATGCTCTTCAACAAGGAGCAGGATCCTCTGAAGGCAGCAGTCCATGCTGTAGCTGAAACAGCTGGAAGGTCCAAAGCACAAAGCCACAGGGAACGGTGGCCTTAAGTGCTGTCAAAGCCACACACAGTAATCTGGGCTCTGTCCATCCCCTTGCAGAGAAAGCTACATCTTCCATCTCAGAAACAGTGCTGGGATAGGCGTGCTCAGTCCCCCATGCCTAACATGATTGTGTCACAAGTTGGAATTTAAAGAGAATGATGACCTGTCTCCCTCCAAAAAAACAAAAAGGCTGCTGCTGAGGACATTGAATTTGGAGCGATCTCGGTCTAGACATGGGTGAGTGTAGAGAGTGGCTGTGAGGACACAGCAGTGATGTTTGCATGCTTTGGCAGAGGGGTTTGCTGGCAGGTGTTCCCACAAAGGATGCAGCACTGCCCTGGGAGTGCTGGATCTGCCTGGCTGACACTGACAAACTGGGGGATGCTGCAGCATCAGGCTTTGAAACATGATGCACTGGAGCACTGCCAAGCTGTGCCTGCTCTATGGGGAGCCACAATGAACAATTGCTGCTCTTCTGTCTTGCTGGAGAAGTTACSTGACGTCAGTGCTGGGATGGCTGAGGGTGATGGTGATGTGACGTGCTCTGTGCCGTCTGCACAGCAGAATGGAAATGCTGAAAGGAGGCACACACTGTTTGCCTATAACTTTTGGGAGAGAAAAGAAGTTAAAGTGTGAAGCACTCCATGTATAACTGATGATTATTTTTTCCCAATAATCTTCCTCCCTTTGCCCAAACCTTSTTGTTGCAACTGCTGCACTGCGAGGCGGGTGCACCCCTCTGCAAGAAGAAGGGTGCCCTCACATCAAAGCTCTTGCCTTGCAGTGGGTGACCCTGCCCAGCAGCACAGTACCCTCACAGCTACTCCCTTGCCCTGCCCCAACGGGACAGAATTAGAAAATCAGGAATRAGTACTCCTGAGGATTGAGGTAAGAGCAGTTTAATGAGTAAAACAAGAAGAAAACGCAAGTAAAGCAAAGGCCCCTCACCATCTCTCTTAAGCAAGACTGGTGCTCACCCAGTCTCTGAGAATGTGTTCCCTGGAAGGCAAAGCCCCCACCCTCTTATTCTTCTTCCCAGCTTTTGTTGTTGAGAAAGTCATTATACCATAGGGAATATGGGTTTGGGTCAGGTCTCCCAGCCATGTTGTCTCCCAGCCTCTCAGCCACCCTTAGCCTGCCTGCTGGGGGACAGTGTGGGAAACAGGCTGTGCAAGGACTGGTCACCCACAGCAAAAGCACTTGTGTGCTGCCTGCGCTGGTACAGTCACAAATCTAAAACAGGGTATCGTATGTGTTGTTAGGGAGGAGGTTAACTCTGTCCTACTCCTTAAGCATGCAACAAAATATCATGGAAAATATTATTTTAAAAAATTTTTATTGTTTTTTTGTCCTTTTAGAGAACTCAGAAGACAGAGATCATGGACTTGGTTGTGAGCCTGCAAGGCACAAAAAGCTGCTRGACWGAGTYAGCCTGGAAGAATGGRCAGAGTTTACAAAAGCCTAGGGARGGATGGTCTTTAGTGACAGAWTTTTTTTTATTYTTCCTTATTCAGCCATYTGAATTCCCAGTTGTAAATTCTGGGAAATGATGGAAATTATCAGCATGGTTCAAAYGTTGCCAAATTTAGCGCACTTTTTTGTTAGGACACAAAATGAAAGTATTCTTCTAGGAAYAGGTGTTATCCAACTGTGCAAAAGAGTCTGTGCTGACTCAGAATGTGATTATTCTGCATTTGGAATAAAGGCCCTTCTACCGAGGAAACACACCAGTTTAAACCAATTAGGCTGGCAAGGATTCTGCCAAGATTAAGCCTAGGGAAGGCTGAGGGTTTGGAGCATGTTAGGCTAGSGTGGATCTGTGCTTGCAGAAAGGTRACCAACATGTTTGTTCRGYTTGGCTCCCTCAGCAAAGAGCTGYCTTCTGGGAAGTGTTCCTGCAGGGAGCTGGATAACGCTGGGCTGCATCTCCTAGACACCAGTCCCTCACACAGTGAGGCCTTTAAGCAGAAGATTAGGAAATGCAGAGTTAAGAAAGAGATTAAGTGTAAAGAATGGTGTTACCATGATCCATGCTTTGGAAATTTCTTGTAGGCTTAAGATGAGAGACAGCTAAAGCATCCATGCTGTCTTCTCTGACTGCTGCAGTTGATGGAACACATTTCATCCCTCTTTATCCTCATTCTTCAGTTCCAGAAGTCGTGGAGTAGCTGGCCTTCCTCACCTGCCCCTTCCCAGTCCTCTACATTTGTCAAGTGCCAGCAGTGCTCTCCTCTGCCCAGCTCCTCCTGAAGCCCCTGGCAGCTGAAATCTCACTCCTAAGCTGATGTTGCTGTGATACAAAAATTGGTTGTCTTTTGGGATTCTTAACATATATGATGCCACCAACAATCCCCCTTTAATCCACTGTGTTTTGCTAACAGATGTCCAGTCTCTGATATATTTTGATGCTYGGCCTAATGGGCATGTTCTAGTCTGAACTGGGGGTAGAGGGAATTTTGCAGCAGGAAATTATTATGTCAGGGCATTGTKTTGGATGCTGTCTGGCACTAATGTAATTTTAAATAGCTTACTTTGTTGTTTTATTCCCTATTTTGAGCTAARCTGAAAGCTTGACGCTAAGTGGAATGGACACAAAGGGGAGCATTCAGYAAAGATAACCTTGGGGTTATCGTGCCTGGGAGGGGTTGGGGCTGCTCAGGTTGGATGCTCTGTGCCTCAGCAATTACTGCTGAATTCAAGTTCCTGCCTTGAGCCCGTTCCCTGGAGAATCCTTTCACAGGCTTTGTAGGTAGGCAAGTTCCTCTGCACTGWATTTAGCTTTTGTGAATATCTGTCCTTGACCCAACAGGAGCTGCAGAAGTGCCGTGTCAGGCTTGGAGGGCTGCACGCTGTAGGTATGGAAACAGCAGAGGAGGCAACACAACAGCACTCCAACTCACAGGAATSCGTTTTTTCTTTTCTCCCAAGAATAATTGGATTTATTAGTTAATAGAAATGTGAATGGGCAGGCACATCTTAAATGTACTGGCTTATATTATGTATTCTTAATGCCAAAGTAGATGATATAATGTAATTTTGCAATTGATTGTAGGACAGCAAATGGAAAAGCCCTTTAAAAAGGAATCTGTAGTACCACAGTTGAAATTAAACTTGCTGTTATGAAGTCTGCTAAATAATGGCAGCCTGCTATTTTATCAAAAAAGCTTTATTTCTATTACACTTTATATGTAGTGCACTACTAAGAAAAGATAGTTTTCAAAAGTCATGTTGCTTTCATCAAAGTCTGGCACTTCCTTTACTCTTGCTGTTTGACATGAATAGAAGGAAAGCGGGGTCGTTCTGACTGCGGGAGGGCTCAGCCTCGCCCAGTGCAGCCCTGCAGGCACCAGCTATAGTGGGATTAAAGAAGGCATCAGTAATCGTCGTAGTTGACGCCTGCTCCGTGCCTGAAGGAGTGTGGATTCCGTGGGCCAATGGGAGAATCCTCATCGTAGTGGTGCTGGTAGTATCCACCATAGTATTCATTACGAGCACGCCCCAGGTTGGTCCAGTAAGACATGTCATCTTCAAATTTCTGCCAGAAAAAAAAGAGAACGTCTGTTTTCCAGCCAGAAGCTTTATAACGATGAGATGAAATGGAAATGGTACAAGAGCCTGGTTCAGAAATTTGGATCCTTTGCACATTTGTCAGAAATGAAATCTTTAGATCGAAGGGATTTTGTGACTTGTACTCACCTTCCCTATGGGATTACCAGGATCCTGTGTGCAGGAATTATCCTGCCCAGCCCCAGCTAGAACCTACCCCTCTGCTCACTGCAAAGTGCTTAAACCGAGMCTGCCTTCAGCTGGAACACACTAAGCATCTTCAGTATGTCTGTTACCTTGTCCACGGTGGACTGTAAAACCGTGCCAATGCTTTGCACTTAAAAATCTCAAGGTTTAGTTCTCCCTTGCCCSGTGCCTTTGGTTGCAATGTCCCTGACTGGGGTGCAACAGGCTTTTGCTGTCTGTCTGTGATCTCTCACTCCCACCTTGCATGGATATAAACAARGGTACAGCTATGGAAATGCAATAAGCACTTCAGTTCTGCTCACCAAAGCAGAGGAAAAACAGTGTGCAAGGATATCACATATTTGCCAAGCTAAAGCCTTTCCATCTGAATGACTCTTTGGAAATATTTTTGGCTGAGATTTGGGGGGGAAAAAAAAAGTTTTGTGAAATACACAAGGGATAAGTATGGCCCAAGTCCTTTGCTGGAACAAACAGTTATTTCATTGTTAAAACTGTGTCTTAATACTCAAGAAAACCTACTAAGTGAATTCATTGTATTCCACAACAAGCCTTATTTCAGTTTTTGAAATGCACACAGGAACTCAGAGGAGAATTCACTTTGTCTGCATGGCTTGTCCTTGCTACTTTTGGCATTTGCCCCCAGTCTTCAGTTTCTGATGTATAAAASCACTTTTCCTATTTTTCCTGTTCCTGTTGGTGATGGGGGATATAGCCATGCTATTGAAAAGTGACTTTTATCCGCATAATATCCAGGAGACTTTTTTAAAAAATTACCCTTCATTATTTCAGCTGAAGCAAAGGATTATTTTTCTAATTGTTGCAGCTTTGAAAATGAGCGCATTCATCTTCTAAGCAATCCACATGGCATGAATCTTTAAAATGTAGTGCAGCTTGCCTGTGCCAATGCAATCTCATTAAACATATTCAAGCAGCTGACAGAAGCCAAGAATTCAACATCTATAACTATTTTTACCTCTTATTAAAAGTAGAAATGATTCTCCATGTGGGACTGYGACCAAATGCACTTTTTTGCCCTATTCCAGCATCTATTTAATAGAGCTTTGTGCAGAGTTTGATTCCATTCCAGTGTTTTTACAAATAAACTGTTTTATTAAAATTTATCCTTCTCATTTGAAGGGAGGTTGGCTGAACATTATCCAATAATTTTTCTTTCCCATTTAGAGTGGAGGCACAGCTGCCAGTGTTCATGATGGTCAGGAGCTGCCCACACCGTGGAGGCACAAATGTTCATTGGGTGTGTAATGCCAGTGCCATTTCACTGAGGAGTGACAGTCACAGCCAGCTTGGTGTGGATTTCTCAGCTGATAGCTGTTTAAAAGCTGATATGGTTGAGGCTGACAAATTAATTTCCTGAAATACWGTAGGTTGCTTTGAGTCTGGCCACCTATTTCCCAAAGCAAACTTTGTTCMTATGTCCAGTTGCAATTTTTTAAGCTGAAGTTCCATAGCAGTTAGGAGCTCCACACAAGATCTTAATGTAATTTTTTTTCTACTAGTGAAATAATGCAAGAATCTCTAACAAGTAACAGCACTTATATTTCTGTGTGACATTTGCCATTTCAAAACAAGAAATCTCAGTRTCTGTGAACAGAAGCTGAGCAGCTTCTCCCTGTGGTGGCTGCACATCCACAATCACCACCACTCAGTCTGAACCCCTACCAACCCCTGAAAGCCTTAAAGAATCATGGAAAGGCTTAGGYTGGAAGGACATTGAAGACCATCTAGTTCCAACCCCCCTGCCATGGTTGCTGAAAGCCCCATCCAACCTGGCTTTGARSACTTAGAGGAATGGGGCATCARCCACTACTCTGGGAATCTGTTCCAGTGCCTCACCACTCCCACAGTAAAGAATTTCTTCCTAATACCTAATCTAAATCTCTTTTCATTTAAACCCAATCCCCCTTGTTCCATCCCTGCCTGTTCTCCCTTTTTTATAMGCCCCCTTTTCCCCCTGCTGCTGTCCATCCCTTGCTCTCACCTGCTCATCGAAGCCCAGGTACAGGAACTGCTGGTACCACTGCTGCACGTCGGGCTGGCTTCTGTCCCACAGCTGCCGCCTCTGGCGTCTCAGGCTGCTCAGGAACTCCTTGGCCACTGTTTCTTTCACTGACACCTCAGGCTTCGCAGCRGCAGAGGCTGAAATTAATTCCCCCCACAAAAGGCATGCCAGGAAATATTTGGTCAGCCTGAAGCATACTGCTTGCAGCAAGTAAGAAAATGATTCTCACATSGTGCCATTATCTTTGTGCTTGCCAGTGCAATGCCTGTAGCAGAGTGACAGTAATAAATCTGGGAATCATCGATGTAATAGGATTTCTCAACTACCCTCTTTCTCCTGGATTCTCCAAAAGCCTTTCTGAGCTCAAATAAGTGAGCAGCTAAGTGAGGAATTTAAATAAAATCACCCAAATTCAACGAGCATGTACACAATGTATTTGTGTTTTCTGGAGAGAACAGGAGACTGTCCCTAAGTGCTACAGTTGCAGAAATTGAAATGAAGATGAGAGGTGAAGTTAAAAAGACTGAGGAAGCTGGAGAAGTACTGCTAATGTATTAATGTGAAGGGAGAAACACATAAGACAGATTTTTTTTTAATCTGATGCATAAAAATGTAAGCTTTTAAATAACGAGTGTTACTAAATGCCTTGTATGCCTGAAAACAAAAGCCCATCAGATGTGGGGGATGGGCACCCTGCGTGGGGGATGCATGGAAATGCCCTCAACCCACCAGACCCAGATGTGCCATCTGGCTTGCTCCATACCTAAGAGCAGTTTGCTGTGGCTGCTGAAGGTATTGATGTATTTCCCAAAGGCATGRGTGAGAGGAATARGCAGGATGAGAAGAAATGGCCTCAAGTTGTGCCAGGGAAGGTTTAGATTGGATATTAGGAACAATTCCTTCACCTGAAAAGAACAAGCTTTGGAACAACCTTCCTGGGGATGTGGGAACTGCCATGCCTGGAAGTGTTCAAAAAACGTACAGATGTGGCACTTGGGGACRKGGTTTAGTGGTGAATATGGCTCTGCTGGGGAAATGGTTGGACTCAATCTTAAGAGATCTTTTCCAACCTAACAATTCTGTGCTTCTGTGACTGGCCAGACCCTGGCCATACACAGAAATGATAAAACATGGTATGGGTCTGGCTGTGAAACAAGAAGTGCATAGGAKTAGGAGGAGTCTTGGCTTCAAACAGTTCATAATAGTGAGGGATAAATCAGGAACACGGGTATGCATGGGAGTTTTGGCAGATGTGAGGGAGRAGACTGGGGTAGACAGGGAAGTTGAGTGGAAATGTGAGCTGGGCAGACTCACAGTGAAAGGCAAAGGACTGCAGAGAGGAGGAGATTCTGGAGATGAAAGTGATGGATGAGTTGTTGCAATAAGTGGGAAAGCCTAGGCTGTCCTGCAGTGATGAGCTGGAAACTGGTAACYCACCATGAGCCTGAACTGGGTGTTATTCATGGGAGGAGGGACAGCTGAGCCAATGTCCCATGAATGAGCTCTCGCACAGGGACACTGCCAGCATGGGAAGCAGTGCTGCACTTGGCCCTCACTGCTAGAGTAGTTGCACTCACTCTAGAAACCAGCCAGAAAAGGGGAGTGGGGCTAGGATTAAAGGGCTGCATAATTCCTCCATCATCAATTCTGCAGTTCTTCCTGGTGTAAACCATGTTGTCTGCATGCTCCAAAAGCCTTCCCTAGGTGGTCCCTTTCCCCAGGGGACCTGAACAAACAAGTGGCCACTGCTGTGGTGCAGGAAGGTCACTCCAGTCCACACATAAGCGCTGCAGAATGGTGATGTAAGGAACCTGCACACGAGGGAAACTGAGGTGGGTGGGATATATATTTTAGTGCTGGTGAGAGGTGTGGAGTGATGCCAGAGGAAAACCCAGTAAATTAGAAAGCCTGTCAGAAAGTGAGAGTCCCCTCTGTGGCTGTATAATTTCTTTGCCTCAGCCACAGAGCAGGCTGAGGGGATCTGGCCAAAACTTCTGGGATGTTTCATCTGCTGGGATGAGGCTTGTTCCCAGTTGGCATCGTTTCCATCACCTTCCCTCAAACATTGAGCCATTCCATGCTTCTGACTCCTGGGCCCTTGGCCATCATCTCTCCTGTACGAGAGCAGTCTTCCAAAAAGGAAGCACRTATAGGGCCAAAAGAACAAAAGACAAAAACATCAAGTCAAGGCATTGTAGGCAAGTCAGGTTTGTGCATTTTCTTCTYTGCGCCTGAGCCAGCAGTATTTCCATGCATTATAATTCCTTGGAAAAGTTTGTGACATCCCAGAATAAACCAGATAAATGCCACGTCTGCCGTGCATGCACTGGACAAGGTCGCTCTGTGCAGAGCAGGCAGGCAGTGCTGCCTGAGGCTGGGAACCCCGCATTTCAGGGAGCTCTGGTAAGCAGAGCCTCCAACTCCCAAATGGGCAGCAGGCTCAGGTTCTGCCTGAGCAGGAGGTTTTGGCGTGGTCTGCAGTGAGAGTGGCCCTGTGCTCGTAGCTCTGCTCTCTTTGTGCCCGTGGAGCTGGAGATGCAGGGACAGCTCACAGCTGACAGCACCGACTCGGGGGGAAAGCAAAGGGAAGCACTTTGCTGTCTCTTTACTCACCTTCTCGCTTCTGAAGCATCAGCTTAAGCTTATTTCCCCTTGAAACATCTAGACAAATAAAAATAAAACACGTGGATTTACTGAGAGAGAAATAACAACAGCAAAAGATTATTTCTCAAAAAGAGCCAGAAGTATTTTTGTCATAGCTCCMGCTCAACAGGCAAAACAGACAAGTTTCTCCCAGCGCCTCCTTTTGCTTCCCTTTCCACACATGAGCGCAATACACACTGCAGGGAAGCTTCTGGCACACGAGCATCCTCTCCCCAGCTCTCTTGGCAAGGAAAACCCAATAGTGGTCTTCTTTATCAAGTAAATTATTACATTTTTCATTAGAAGACTGCAGMTGGTGCCAGTACCAGCACCCAGAGCAGCATGATAACGCTGGAAGCCCCTGGTCACTGRGTGAGGGCTGTGCTAACGATCAGACTGCTCCAAAATTGTGCCTGGCATCGTGCCCCAAAGCACATCGAAGCAGTCTCCCTGCCGATCCCCAGACCGCCAGCGCGACAGGAGACCTGCAAGCGCTCGGCTGTTCCAAAATGCCTCAATCACTGGCAAACAAGGATCTTTACAAAAAGATGCCCAACCCGCACGAGGCTGGAGCGTTCGAAGGTTCTCACCCAGCGGGATGCCAGGGAAGGCTTTTCCCCGCTCCCAGGACACGCCGGGCTGTGCTTTCCCTGCCCCGCATCCCGCACTCACCGGGGGCCGCGCAGAGCAGCGGCAGGAGGAGCAACAGGAGGAGCAGGGACAGAGCCCCGCGGGGACACGGCGGCGACATCGCGACAGAACGGCGAGGAGACAGTGCCACCTGTGCGGGAGGAGACGGAGAGGATGGAGCTGGAGGGACGGACGGACGGAGGGAGGGACGGAGGAGCGGCAGCGGAGGGAAGGGCCCGTCCCGGCGGGCGGGGAGGGGCGGGAGGCGGCCGGGCCGGGCCGGGGGGGAGAGGGAAACGCTCCCGGCAGCGGCACCGACAGCTCCGGGCTCCCGTGGGACGGGGCACCCTCGCTCGGAGCGGGGCGAGATTGATACGACACGACCAGGAACCCACCCGTGTGCTCGGCCACTTCCCAGCAGCGCTTCTCCTTGGAGTTACACAGAATCGATCCGCTGAGACGGTAAAGACYTTTCAGCGGCTCATCCAGGCTTTTCTGACAGGGGAGTTAAAAAAATAAAGATGCCTATAGCGTGTCATTTCACACCGCTCTCGAGATAAACCCAGTTTGTCGGAGCATTGTAACAGCACATGGAAAAGGTGAGATTGTCCTGATGGAACAGCTAAGCAGAATCAATCAAAGGTGACTTGCTTAGGCTTTTCTCTGTCTCACTTCCTCCCACTTCCCAAGCCTACAGAAAATCTCAATGCTTTTTAAGTGATTAGCTTTAAAAAATAATTTGGAAAATCTTTTTCTGCTAATGTACATGTTCAGTTTATTGTAAGAACTCAGGGACCAAAAACCAAACTCACRAACTAAGAGCCCTTGCTCAGCAGTTTCGTAACTGTAATGGTGCCTAAACTTACTCTTGCCTTTTCCTATTTCAGACTTAAACCTTCCCTTGGTGAATTAATCTTCTATCAGTTCCTTCTCCTGCAGAAGCCAGAAACACCCCAGATGAATTCCTAATGAATTCCTTACCCATCCTCAGACACAAACCTCTCTCTTCCCTCACAGCAGAGCCCCACAGCACCAGGAGACCATAATGAGCATCTCACCTCCTGCTGAACCTGTGCCAGTGCAGAGCAAGGGGGAGCCGGGCTCCCTCTGTAAATTACTTGTGAGAAMTCTGGCAAGAGCTGGGGCCTTGGCTCCCTTAGGGAAGGATCAGTTCCAGATCAGTTGCAGATGAATTCACACACACACACTGTGTGCTGTATATATTGCAATTGTATATAAATATGTACATTGAATATGTATGTGTTTATATACACATAGCCATGGTGAGGGAGCTGTGCAGTGATGTGGCAATTCTCTGTGATGAGATTGGGAACCCGTCAGTGTCATTCAGGCACAGCTGATTGTGGGGCTGGGACCAGACCCTGGCTGGCTTCACCACTCACCTTGAAATGCAGAAAAATCACCAGCATGGGCTATCCCTCAGCAGTGCCCCAGCCACAGCCTGAAAGCTGCTTGAGGAAATTTCTCCTGTTTGCCCCATGCATCTTTTCTCTTGTGAAAAAATTACTTGGAGTTGCAGTTAAAGCTTTTCCCTTGCTTCCCTTCATCCCCTGGCACCCCTGAGCTAAAGCTCAGGCATCTCTGCTCGTCCTTTTTATAAGGACTTGTTACAGGAACATATAGTGATGGAACAAGGAATAGTGGTTTTAGACTGAAAGAGAGCAGGTTTAGATGAGAAATTAAGAAGAAATTCTTTCCTGTGAGGGTGGTGAGACAYGGGAGCCACTTGCCCAGAGAAGCTGTGGATGTCCCATCCCTGGAAGTGTTCCAGGTCAGGCTGGATGAGGCTCTGAGCAGCCTGGTCTTTGTGAAAGTGTTCCTGCTTATGGTGGGGAGGGGTTGGAACTGGATCATCATCAATGTCACTTTCAATGCAAACAATTCTATGATTCTGTCATCCCAGTCGAAGAGACGCAGCAACAGCTCCAACCAAAGCACCTCCTGCTCTCTGCAGGAGCCACATCTTCCCACAGAGGCAGCAGGGAGCAGCACCTTYCCGATACCTGTGATGAAAGCACTTCCACAGGAGCCTGGGGTCCCAGTTCAACTCCCGTGCAAATGTGAACCAACACTGGTTTGTCTTTTCGGTCACTTTTTTTGAGTATTTTTTCCCTGTAGCCCCACACCTCATGTGCCAGCAGACAACACCGTGTGTTGGAGMAAACGCCCCTTCTCCTGAATCAATGCCCTCTTTCATCAGCTCAACGCTGACAGCCTTTAGCTGTTTGCTAAAACCACTGAGCTTTTGGGATAGTTATTTGCAGAATATAGCTAGAAGGGACAGAAGTMAAGAGTACATATGCAAGGCTACATGAAAAAGCTATGATGGAGTTAATTTATAAAGCCAGGGCAATAACTCATGAATATTCATGGTTTACTGCTATATTGGTAATGGCAAAGGGTGCTTTGTTCAGCTGGTTGGTTTGTAACAAACCTTGTGTGGGAGCTGGGGCTCTGCAGAGCTTCAGGTGATTTGTGTCTCTGGGCCAAGGGAATTCAAAACAGAGAACCTCCTCTAAATATCAAATACACCATGATGACTCAAGAAACCACTGGGATAAAACGCAATTTTGTGAAACCCAGGGAATGGATGTTATTGTAGAAATTCATTGCTCTAGTGATGGAAGAAGTGATTGACAGAAGACTATAATGCTCAGGTTGAAACTCAGTGAAGTGTCTTTGAGAAAAGGTCACTTTCTCARTTCAGGGGCAGAAGTTTTTGACATAAAGTAAAGAAAAATATAACAGCACTTCTTTTCAAAGRCAGGGGTGAAAGGTGACTGGTGCTTTCCCAGTAGCAATCTCTATTTCTTTTCAGGTTGTTTTAAGGATTGAGGCAGTGTTGCCCTGGTGTTGCAGTAAGACACGTTTTTCTGCTGAGCTTGCAACTACTGCACTGTTATTCCAAATATTTACCCCCCAGCGAATATCCAGGTTTATTGACATGCCTGCAGTACCCCTTTCTGTTATTTGCCATAAAAAAACACAGTTGCTGTGTGTGCAGCTTGGATACAGCAGTGTTTTCCTGGGATCTCTCCATCAGCAGTGACATTGCTCTCTTTAAAGCATCCCTTTCTTTAGCATGGAGGAGTTTAGGGTTTGTCTCATGGCTTGGTTTGCCTCCTCTGGCACTCCAGTGCTGGAAGCTCTCTGCTGGCATGGTTGGGCAGCACTGCCAAGGACATTAGGTAAGAAAGTTTGCACTAATGATGTCATTCAGTTAAATGTCTTTCATCACCACTGGTAACAGTAGTAGACGCTTGATGCAGAAATTTCACTGAAAGATGTTAATTAAAGCTGTCAGCAGGACWGTTCCCCAGACAGCTCTGGAATGAGGAGCAGTGAGCAGGGCCCCTTTCACGTGTGCTGCAGACTCCATCGAGCCCCTGAGCACAACAAAGACCACGAATTGGAGGGATGCCTGTGGCAGGAGAGCAGGATGGAGCTGGCAGGTTCATTACTCCCCCAGCATGGAGTTAGATTGAGGACTGTGGTCTTGCAAGCCTCAGGCAAAAATCTGGGAGCAATTCAATGGAAACCACTCTGAACCTGACTGAGAAACTACAGGCAGGAGCAAGGCAAGGAGCTCACTGAAAAAATTCTGAAAACTCAGTCTGCTACTGGCCAGCTTTGTCTTTGGAGCCTGCAGGACTCAATCCATGTTTTTTGAGATAAGCAAAGAAGGCCCTGGCTTTTTAAATAGTTCTTCATCTTGCAGCAGGTTTGATGACTACAACTCCATTTGATCTATGTTTCATCCACATTGTTTTTAAGCCCAGCTGTTTAAACTTAAGCTGCCTGAAATGGTATGGGCATGCGTGGCTCTTTAACTGATCTGAACAAAATGGGGGAGGGGGACGGGAAATCTCTGACTCAAAGCATCCTGAGTTTTTTACATGTTTCACTATTACTATTATTATTATTATTATTATTATTATTATTATTATTATTATTATTATTATTATTATTATTATACATTTTGCCTAAAAATTAGTACAAAGAGATCCCTGAATAGCAGAGACTCCCTTATTTTTGCCTCTCATAACAGTGGCTGTTGAGAGAACTGTGGTTTATTCATTAAAATGTAAGCGATAGTAATGGCTATTCAAGGATATTCAGTAATTCCAAGCACAAAAAAATACATTAAAAAGGGTTGATCGTGGTTTCTTTCCATCTTTCTTTATTAGGTTTTATGATTTTAAGAGTTTTGACACAATAAGGTTTTTAAATACAGTATGGATTAAATGCTTATATAATCACAGGACTCCCAAAGCTGGGTTTCCAAGAAACCCCCCTCTCCCACCAATATTATGAGTTTTAAGGTAAAATAATGAGATTTGACATCAGCAGAACTTAGTAGGAAAATAGGTAAGTTGGAAATAGGCCAGGGATTGCAGGAGATGACACTTCATCCTTACAAAGAAGCACCATGTAGATTTTAACAATCCACCAAATTGATCCATTTGATCAAGAACATGGCAGCATTGAACAGTATTCCTAACACCCAGAAAATTATTACTTTCTGCTAATGAGGTTTTTACTGATGTTCCAGCCATATTGTCCTGGTCGTTTGCCTTAGGATAGAGGGGCTTGGCACTCCAAATGTTTTTCTGCAGCCCGTTCCAAGAAAACTGCAGGAGTYGTGTTTTCCTTCCAAACAGAAGGAAGAATATTTAAATCATCAGTCAGTTCTTTCCAAAATATTTTGAGTTTCATACTATTTCTTCCACTGCCCCAGAGACATCCTGACAGTGACAGGAACAGCCCAAGGTCCTAAGGCAAACACCTTTTTTTTTAGGAAATATTTATTTGTTGCCAGCTGTGAGCCTCATTGTCCTTGGCACATGGTTTGGGACACATTTCAGCCATTGCATCTCAACTGGTTGCACTATGCCTATGGTCCCCGTCATTAATAAATATTAGAGCTCATATTTTCCATAGAAAATAGCTTAAAATAAAGTTGTTAGGGTTTTTTTTTTTTCTCCCCTATGCTTGGCAACTGCTGATATTTTTTTGCAGCATATGTCTGAGCCTGACAGATAAGAAATGGTGTCTGTTGATCTGTCCGTCCCCCTGCCTTCCCTGACTGACAGTGCTTTGCTGCCCTCACTGCAGAATTAACCTTCTTGCTCTGCTGATAAGCACAGTGAGAAGCAGATTAGTTCAGCAACATTATCAGATCGTGGCTGCCTCCTTTCCACAGARGGACAAAAACATTCTCTCTCTAAGAAATCCTTCTCCTTTTTCTCTTCCACTGCCTCCAGCATACTTTTRGGATAAACCTGGAAGCATATGGCAAGTCTGTGTGTCAGCTTTAACAGGAAGGGAGATGTAGAGGGACTGTAGTACATTAATACCTGTCTTTTTGACATGGCCTGATTTCATTCAAATCATTCTTTCCTTTACTGCTGTCATTGGGGATGYTTATTTTTTATGCTTCAAAAAATCTTTTTCTGAACTCTTATTTCT